GCTTCAGGTAGGTAGACGGCCCTTGTGGCTCAGTAACTGTTAGTTTTCCCCTGGTTTGTTGAATGAGACTATGATTGTTAAGTGAAACCACTCTCTGACCTGAGTGGTCTGGCTGTCATGTGCCTGGGTGAAGACTCGGGGAGAGACTGACAAAGTACCTGGCCAGTGTCCTTAGCAGGCTGGGTGCCCCGGCTGGCCTGTGTCCTGGGCACTGAGGTCCCGCTGTCCCTCTTTCAGCAGGGGCCTCCCAGGGACACACATCCCCACAGCTGACTTCCATGTCTGTCTCCTTGTTCCTGAATTACATGTGCGCTCAATGGGTCATTTATTTGTGGGATGAAAGTTACACATGAAAAGGAAATAAAGTTCATATAAGGACAAGTCAATATCTTTTTTTTTTTTAAGATTTATTTATTTATGAATACAGAGCTGGGGTACAAGCCAGAGGCTCAGGGGCGGTGAGAGGCTTCACCAGAGACAGAGTGGGGAGCAGAACAGGCAGATCTACAAATACACTGTTGAGGGGAGCAGCAGGCGGGTCAGGAGAGGTCTGCCACGCTATGTGGTCACCTCCGGGGCAGGTGGGAATCGAACTCATGCGGAAGTGGCTTTAGCTTCTTAGTGTGTGCTTTAACCTGCTTGGCCACCAGGGAGAGCCCGACAAGTCAATTTCATTGTGAATAATGAGAAAAGGGAATTGTGTTGAGAACCTGACTTGCCCTCCTGAGCTCCAGAGCTGCATCTCTGGGCTGGTTCAGAGGCACATTCCTGAGGGGCTGGGCCTGCTATGAGTCTCTGGCCTCAGGGAGTTTCCCTGAGCAGGTAGAGGAGCAGCCTGGGGTCCTGGCTCTGGAGTCTGTGTTGAAATGGAGTCCTGGGTGCGGACTCTGGGTGCCCTGGGTGAGGGCCCCTTAGATGAGCCTTTGTGAGCACCTGCCGGCCCATGATGGTGCCAGGGCCTGCGGGGCCCACAGCTGGGCACTTACCCCCGGGGTTGCTGAGGCTCATGGGTGAGAGTAAACCAAGTAGATGCCCTTTTCCCTGGTGCTGGAGTGACTGGGCTGACCTTGCCCATGACAGTTTTAACCAATAGGAGGGAGGCCTCAGGTCAGGGAAGACCCAGGTGTGGGCAGGACCTCAGGTTCCCAGTCAGTGTAAAGGGAGCCCCCTGGCAGGCAGCACAAACATCCCTGACCACGCATCATGGCCTCCCTCTGGCTCCTCTCCTGCTTCACCCTCATCGGGGTCTCCGTAGGTGAGTGTTGGGGTCTGAGGCAATAGCCAGGCCTGAGAGTAGTGTGGGCAAAAGCCTTTTTATGGCGGCATTCACATTAGGCCCCACTGGAGAATGGGATTTTCCAAGGGTTCAGGCCTGTGTCCAGCACAAGGGAAGTTTTGAACCCCTCACCAGTTCCCATAAGTTCAGTGCAGACAGTCCTTGACTTTGTAGAAGGAGAGTGGACCTTGAAGACTTTGTCAGCACTCACAGCCATGCCAGGTGTGGGGCATAATGTCAGGGAATCAGAAATATCAGGGAACCCAGAAAGTGTCTCAGATTCATTCTGGAGGATCGGTAGAGTGGCCCCAGGTGACCATCAGAATTACATCTCTCAGAGAATTTGTTTAATGGTTGACAGTTAAGATTCTGTTTTCAAAAACCAAAAACATCAAAATGGAGAAAGACGAGTGCCATAATATGTACACACTAGGACTTTGCTCAGGATTTGACAAATATTTACATTCCAGATTTCAAGTTTGATTTTTGTGGGTTTTTTAAAATGTATTTTTGACCCCTCAGCTGGCTCAGCAGCCCCCTGCGCCCACCCCTCCCTGGGAAGGGGCCTCTGCTGAGTCCCTGCCTGTCACTCTGTGCCGGCTTCACACACTCACCCCTGGGGCTCACCCAGAACAGCGGGCTCCGTGGGGGAGCCCCTCCCT